GCATACCCCACACCAGGGATCGAGCCCACAACCCAGGCATGTGCCCTTGATCGGAATCAAACCCAGGACCCTTCAGTCCACAGGCTGCCGCTCTATCCACTGAACCAAACCGGCTAGGGCCCTCTTCTAATTTCCACAGCTTCTAAGAACAACACGGTGTTTTTATTTTTAGGCAGAAAATGCCTGCAACAACTGATCAGTTTGCAATTTTCTAACAGTGCCGCCTTGGGTGAATTGTGCATCTCTGTATATCATTTTTCTCCTCTGAAAAGGAGATAAAATAAGACCTCCCCAACCCCAGAATGTAAAAGAGCAATTGTATGTTAGCATGACACGTACATGATGCAGGATCCACCTGTCTCAGGAAGACCCCGATAGGGGTGAATGCAAGAATCTCCCTTCAACACAAACTCATGGAATGCCACCACAGCCCCAGGCCATTCCTTCCGCAAACCTGAGAGGCATCTAATGGTGCTGCCACCGAGCCTCTACCTGTAGCTCTTGGAAATGGGAGCCTGGCTTTGCTGAAAAGCCCTGACCTGCATTAAGCAGCTCTGGGTTTGCACAGAGTCCGATGGAGCTCAGAGCAAGCTGGCTCTGGGAGGCTGACCAGGGCTGGTTTGTCTCCTAGAAGGAGGTGCTCTCCTACAGGGTGGTCTGGTCTCTTTAAGAAAGAAAAGAAGTTGCACAAACCAAAAAAAACACACACATACACACACACAACAACAAACAAAAAAAAACCCAGCAATACTAACCAACCAAAAATGCCAGGAATGCAAGCTCTGCCAACCAAATAAATAAATAAAATGTGAGATACTTATAATAACTGGACACGATGCATTTCTCAAGCCTGCATAATTGAAATACCCTACTTTTCCATCCGCCCTGCAAAGGTCCTGGTGGCCTCTAGTCTTGGTGGCTGTTTGGATCTGAGGTAGCGTTGACAAAGCCCATCACCCAAAGTAACTAACTGACCCCTTGTGCCTTTAGCTCTGACAGGCGAGGCCTCGAGACCCTCTGAAAGTTACCCATCTCCATGTGTGCTCTTTGGAGATCTCCACTAAACAGGAGAAGGAGGTCTCTTTAACTATACTCTTCTCTTACCTACAGAGGTACAGAATACAGCGGTAGCCCCTATCCAACATTTCAAGGGCCCCTAAAATTTCTACCCCAATCAGGGTCCCTTTTTTGTTGACTTGTTTTCTAGTTAACTGTTCAAGAGAATATATTATGGGTCCGGCACTGTTTTAAGAGGTTGCACACATTCCTAGATTTAAATCTCATATCAACCCGTGAGGTACAACAATTACGACACTCATGGATGCAGGAGCGGGAGCACAGAGAGATGCAGTCATTTGCCCAAAGTCACACAGCTGGGAAGTGGCAGAGCTGGGATTCCAACTCAGACAGGTTGGCTCCAGAGCCCCAGCTCTGAGCCACTGGGGTCCTTAGTCACTAATGGGGTGGTCCATGCGGGGGGTGGGGGGGTCTTGAAGCACGGTGAACAAGGGATCCTGGTAGCCTGGCAACTCTGCCTCCTCCTTGTCTACACTGATGAAGATACACAGACTGATGAGAGAGACGGGGAGAGGGACAAAGTGTCTTCCTATCTCTAAGGTCCCCAATGGATGGACATTCTCTGCTCGGAATGGGGGTGGGGGGCGCGAACCTTTTACTCTTGTAAAGCAGCACACATCCAGAATTAGGGCTCTCGCTCTTCTCTGGAAATTACACTCACCTCCCCAAGAAGGTGGAGCGGGAAGGAGACAAACACTGAAGCAGCTTGGGAATGTATTTGCTTTGGCACCCAGCCTCCACCCCGTCCCCAGCAAGGTCCCCACCGGGAGGGAGCTCCATGGACCCCCAATAGCTTTGTTTGTTTTAGCCCATTTAAGATCTGAGAGCAATTGCCATCGCACATTGCCATCAACACGGTCTATCTTCCCACGCCGAAGGAAAACGCAATTCCAATGTCATTTCAAAATACAGGCATGTCAATTCGGGCCCGAAAGCTGTCAAAAATGCTGGGAGGTCTCCATCTCTAGAATAAAGGTTCCTGATCAAGTCCTATTCACAAACACAGGCAAACAATCCAGGACTCCGTCCCTACCCACCTCCCCAATCCCCCGCCTCCCTTCTGCTTGTCTCTCGCTCTCCCATGGGAGTAGGGGACAGGGTGCAGGGAGGAGGGGGGGCGGGTGGAGTGGCCTGGTTTAACCATTTAAACCAGATAAGATCCCAAACTAGTCGTCTCCACACGTAAGAAACTAAACAACCCATAGACTCATTCTGACAAATCTTTAAGTCACAGCTGTGGACACAAAGCCACGCTGCTGCGAGAAGTTAAACTTTAAACACATGTCTTGTACGGTCTGATGGGCAAAGCAAATCCCTGCTCGGCCAGGGTCTTCTCCTCCCACAAGAAAGCAGGCGGCCAGGCCGGCGTGTTTTCCATCCTTGCACCTGCACGTTTAAGTTGCAACTGAAGGTTCTTTACTGAGCTTTGAAAGGTAACCTGCAGTGTTGCTCAAGGCAGTGGATGCTGAAGTTAGAAACAGGGATTCATTGTACTTCAGCCGCTAGCTCACTAGATAATTCTCAGGTGAGTGACTTACCTTCTGGGCCTCTCT